GTGCCTGAAGAGGGGCAAGGCGCTCAGCAAGTGGGAGAAGCGGAGCTGCCGGCGGCTGTGCGGGGACTGCGGGCTGGCGGTGGAGGAGAGGCGAGCCGAGATGGTGTCCAGCTGCAACTGCAAGTTCCACTGGTGCTGCGCTGTGCGCTGCGAGCAGTGCCGCAAGCGCGTCACCAAGTACTTCTGTGTCCGCAAGGAGAAGCGGGAGCGGAGCGGGGGCGGCGGAGCCAGCCGCAAGCTCAAGAGAAAGCTCTGACTTGCTTCTGCTCCTCCACAGCTCTGTCTGCCCCTCTCCTCTCCTGCCCTTCCCATCAGCTCCTGGCACCACTTCTGTTTGGCATAGTTTGGTCTCATTCCCACTGCTGCCTCACTGGGGCTTGGGCAAGGCAAAAGAGCCTTGTATGAGTGCTCAGGCCTTGCCCATACAGGGCATTAGTGCAGTGGGTAATGTCTTCTGGGGAGACCTTCAAGGGTTCACAAAACAAGGTGAGACTCTGTCCCTTCAACTCAGTGTCACTCTATCCAGTGACTACGGCATTATCTCTAAAATCACGGGAGGTCTTGGTGGCTCCTGTGGTTTTGAGCTGGTCTGTTCCCCAAACAAGCACCTGCTCTGGGCTTTTGAGTAAGTGAGATAAAAAGTACAAGGAAACTGAGGTGGCATCAGCAATTGGGCAACTCAGATCAGTAATCTGTAAATGAGAAGAGGCTTTTAAAAAATAGAGGTACTAAAACAGTTATTGCCTCAGGCCTACAGTATGAGGAGATACAAAAGACATGCAACTCCTTTCTCAGCTAGACAGCGTCCAGGGACCCCACAGCTTGGCTTCCCACCATCTGACAGCTTTGCTAAGCTCTCCAGTGCTTTACTTTGCATTTGAAATGGCAGCAGCAAGATCCAAATTGCTGCTTGATCTGCCCATTACACAGCTGTCCAAGGTCCCATCACTTGGTTTTTACATGCTTTCTCTATGTCTTCCAACTCTCCAGATCTGGTCTCCCTTTTTAGGCCAGCATTCCCATCAAAGCCCCTGACTGATGCCATAAAGATGCCCTCACACTTCTCCACTACCTCCTTCCTCCCAAATTGCTCCTAGAGAGAGCTACCAAGCTGAGCCTACTCCCCATGTCCTGATGTACTTGCCAAGCACTCTTACCCCATCAGCTAACTAACTAAACACTTCTTCCTAGTCTGAGAAAATAATGTCAGTTACTATTTAATGGTGGTGTAAATAGGAAAGTGAAGCACTTTGAAGTTTAATTTATTGCACAGTTACTGTGATGTATACGTAACAGTTTTTCCTCTACCACTTATTGTATATATTCTATAGGCTAAGCAAGCAGCAGGAAGATTTGGTTGAAGCATCTCTGTTCCCTTGCTGAGGCTAGGGGAGGGAGGTAAGAAGCTGCCAGCTGCAGGATTTGGGGAAGCTCACTGCACCATCACAGCAATCTTCCTCTGTGCTGCAATAAGATCATCTACTTTGCTGTTTGAAGTGTCCTTTAGCCAGACAAGAAGCCAGCAGAGCTGTTACTGGCCATTAGACCCATCTTGTAGCCAATCTTTTGTAAACCAATAGCTAATGCAATAAATCAGTAGCCAAGTGCTTGCAAAACTCTGTTGTGTCTAAGTGGCTGGATGTTCTTTCATCCCATTTTGCATGTGTATGTAGAAATTTAAGTGTCCTGGAGATTAAAACACTGCTTACCCATGTGAGCCCAGGAAGACCTAGCCAGTTCCAGCCAGCACAATCTCAGCCCCTACCACAAGGGGAAAGGATGTGCTCTCTCCTGAGCTTGCTTGAGGGATGCATGCAACTGCAATGCAACTGCCAGGAAGAAATGGGGTGGGAGGGGGGCAAGCAGGGCCCAGTGCCCACTACATCACAGATACATTAAAGTCACTCACTCAGCAGCCTGTATTTGTCTCTTCATTATCAATTAGTCCCTTGATTCTAAGACTATCTCACAGGGATCAGGAATTTGGACCTTGGGTCTCATCAGAGCAAGAGCATTCCTGTCAAGCAAGAATCTGGCCTTGCAAAAATAGCAAGAAACCTTGTCCCATTCTCAGGGAAAACTGAAACACTTCCACTTCACACACAAACCACCACTGTTTGCACAGAAGTTCTGACTAGCACAGTGACCCTGCCGAAGGTCTCTTGCATCCCCAGCAGCAGCTCCCCCCATGTCCCTGTGGTTGGCCAGGAAAGAGGCATCAAGAGCCTCTCGGCCACCAGGGAAAGCTCCAGCATGGGCCTCCCTTTTCCCCCTGGCTCTCCCGGTTCCACAGTCAGCTGGAAAAGCTGTGGAAGCCTCTTCCTCCCGCTCGTACTGCATCCCTGCCCGGCTGCCCACGGCGCTGCCCGCGCAGGCGGTGGCACAGGCGCTGCGAAGGGGCCGTGTGGGCGCCTCAGCGAGAGCCCCGCCGCCACACGCTGCTTCCGCCGGGAAACGGCGGCACCGCAGCTGCAGAATGTGCTGACCTCAGCAGCGGGTCCCCCCTCCCGGCGCACGGAGCCCGCAGCGGTAAAGGCCCTGCTGCCATTGTGGGCAGGATTGGATGCTTCCATGTATTCATTTCGGTTTAATGAAGGCGCATTCCTCAGAGGAGAAATATTTACATTCAGCTTCCCAGGTGGTCACCTTCGCCCAGATGACACACAAACAGGCAGCCCCCCGCTCCCTTTTCCAATCCCAGCCTCTTTAGAGGGCTCGGGAGGAGGGGAGACAGCGGAGGGGGGGCTGCTGGGGGAGCAGAATAGAGAAGGGAACAAAATGCTAATAAATCAGCCAGCCAGCCCTTTTCCCCTCCCCTCAGTGGAGTCAATGGAAAGTGTCATTTCACATGCTAATCCCCCTCCGATCTCTTTACAACACCTTTTCCGAAAAGTGTTTGGGAAAAGTCCTTGTGGCCCGTTTACAGCTCCCCGCCGCTTCAGATTCCTTCTTGTCTAAGGCCGCGGCCCCGGTGTGGGTCTCTCCCTCCAGCAGGGCTCCTTACAAAAAACATCTCAACAAAGACTTTGGAGTTCATCAGCCTCCCACTGAAATTCACAGCTGCTGAACAAACTAATCCCCTCTCTTGGCCTTTCTTCCTTTCAATGGGTTCTTGGCTTCAAAGACACTTTGGGAAAGGACTTTGTGGGGACTCACACTGCTCCCTCAATAGAAGTTAGTGCAAGCATTATCTTCAGAGCAAGTGGCTTTACAAACAAATACTGCCTAACAATCTCTGCCCCTCCAGCTCCCCCAAACACACACAAGCCTAGCCTGCAGACATGATGTTATCTGCCACAGGATTAGAGCTCTGTTCTCTGTGCCCGGGGATCCTTTCCTGCTGCCCCCTTCCCCCCCAAATTCTTTGTCAACCCAAAGGCCTTCTCACCCAAGTGAAAATGCTTTCTCTGGTGCCCGGGTGCTGTGAAGCCATGTGCCCACTCGGGAGGGGGCAATGCTCACTGCCCTGGGAGACTGCCAGCCAGCAGAGATGGTGCTATAAATGGAGGAACACTTTCCAGCGGGGTTTGAAGGGTAGTATACCACACCAGGGCTGCAGCGACAGGGCCTCTGCCACAAGCCTCTCCAAGACTTTCAAGCGAGTCATCTCACCTTCCCCTCTGCTTGCTTTCAAGCAAAGAGCTTCAGAGTTGGTGCTTCCAGGGGTAAACACAAAGCAAAACAGAGCAACAGAGGGGCAGGTGTGAAGGACTCACATCAAAGGCAGGATAAACAGCCAGTCTCTGCACAAGTATCTGGCAGCAGCAGCTATGTGTGCTGGAGGGAACTAATGTCATATGTATCTGAGAGATACGTGGAAAATCTGTGATAATTTCTCAGCAGTAGAAGTGGCCTGAGTTAAAGAGAGCAAAGGGCTGGAGTGCAAAGTGTACCATAACTGAATCAAAAAAGGCAGAATCTAAGAAATGCCAGGCTTGTTAAGTGATCTCAGAAATCTGGGACTTCCCTTATACACTCATTAAACAAATGTATACCACCGGAGCTACCTGTGTGGTAACACCATTCTAATGCTGCACCAGTGTTACCTTTGAAAATCAGCTTTGCTTGTCCCTGCTGGGGGACAGCTTTTAGGCCAGGCTGTTTGCTAACTGCTCCAGACCAAAAGCTCTTCAAGACTCCTTCACACTGGGTGTTTGCCTCTGCCAGCAGCAGAACGACAAAAGGCTTGTTTTCCTTGAATGTATGTGTTGTGTCCCTAACACCCACAACTCTCAGAAACCCCTGGCCCTTCTCAGCAACAGCCCTTCAAATTTTCACCAAACAATCTTTCCAAGCCTTTGCTTCCTCCCAAGTCCTCCAACCTTGGGCTGTGTAATACAGTCCTTTATATTTCAGAGTATCATGTGTGCTGACTGGAAGGGTTGTACATACATACTAGCTAGCTGACAGAAAAAAATTACATCAGAATTTCTTTCTTTTGTAAGAAAAAAGTTTGATTCCCCCACCTTTATCTCAGTACTGTGTTTCCATTTAGCCCTTTTTACATCCTTAAAAGATTAAATCAGCCAACAGATTCCTAAGTTATTAACAAATGACAAGAACTGACAATTCAAGGACACACAGGTCCAATCCTTATCCTAGTTCAAGCTACATGGCTTCAGTGGTGTAGCATTTATTTCCAATGGGAGACAATGTCATCAAGGGCTGTTTACTTACTGACATACTTCCAACTCTTTATGTCAAGTGCAAAATCTCAAACACTGCTGAGATTCCCCAAGAGAACCTGAGTTTAGGGCCTTCTTGTGTCTGATGCAGATGAACAGTCACAACTGATGCAGGTGATCTGGAGATCAGTGCTCTGACCCTGCAGCCTTAGGGAGGCACAAGACCTGAGGTCTCACCACACCAGGATGGATGCCACCCATAGCAGCAGAGCCCAAAATCTGGTTTGGCCCACACAGTTCTCAACTGCCCCCTCTGTGGGTGGCCATGCAGACTGAGGTAGCAAGCCTCTGAGAAAAAGCATCACAACACACAGCTTTTATTTGACTGTTCTGTAATTTCTCAGTGCATCAAACCGCAGCAATAGAAACAACACAGCAGCAACAAGGAGGCACTTTGACCTGGAAAGGAGTGAATGAGACATGTCCTCTTCCTTCTCTGATTCTCCTCCCTCCTAAGTCTCATGGTACACTAGGTTGATTTGTGTATGTCACTGACCTGCAGGCCCACGATAGCATTATCACTCAAGCAGCAAGCAGAGCAAATAGGGGCTGCATCCAAATCTTGGGAATAAGCCTTGCTCCCAGCTATGGATCAATGATTATGCTGCCTGGTTAGTAAGAAGGATGTTGAGAGAGCAGGCAAGGAGGAAGGAAGGAAGGAAGGGAAATAAACACAAGCGAAAATGTGCCCTAAAATCATCCCATCTACCTTCCCAGACTTCTTCCTCAGGACAGATATGCTTCATTCATCTGCTTCCAGAGGAACTGCCACAGTGATGACAAGTCTCAGCGCAATCCATATCTTCAAGTCCTGACAAGATCACCTCCTGCAGCATATTCCTACCACCAGAGTGCCAATGGGCCTTTGAGAACCACCTCTGCTGTAACTGTAGGTAGTATGAATGCACCATACCTGTAGCAATGAGCTGTCTCTCCCTGCTCAAGTCTGGACTGGGCAGGGTAGCTCAAGGGAAATCTTTATGGGACGTAAACAATCTCTGCTGCTCTTAAAAGTCCCTAGGCCATCTGAAAAACCTGAAGTAGGAAGCCTGTCGATAATACCAGTAGGTGAAAGTTCAGCAGTGCTAAAGTAAAAGAAGTGAAAAAGGCCAGAGCCAGAAAGGGCAGCTTTTAGCCCCAAAAGGATGCGACTGGCTCTGGGGAGAAGTGCACAGAGCACAACCTGCCTACATTCCTGAATGGGAGAGTCCCAGGAACTGCAAAGGAAATCATCCCTGGATCTGAAACATTATGGGCTTGAGCCTGAAGATGATGGGGCAAAAGACATAAAAGGAAGGTGGATAGAGGGTGAACAGGAGACTTGACTTTTAAAAACAAGAGAGATGGGTGAAGAAGAAAGAGAACCAAAGCTGGCCTCGAGTAGACTAGTAGTTAGTCCCAACTGTAGCAGGATATGGGTGCAGAGGGGTGAAAAGGTGAGTTAAGGATGAGAATGAAGAGAAAGAAGGAGCCAGGAGAAATCCTTGCTGCAGCCCAACAGAGTGAGGACACACCAGCCTAGGTTCCCAAGGCAGCCGAGCTACCACTGAGGAAGTTTACTCTGCAGCAGGGAATAGAGCTTGAGGCTGTTCTGTGGTGGTGCTGCAGGTACCAGCCCTGTTTGTTTCCTGAAAAATAAAAAGCAGTATCAGCCTGGAAGGGAAAGGTTTTCCTCTTTGTGCTGGAGATATAGGGAAGAAGAAGGATCCCTGTGCAACCTGGACAGCTGGAAATTGAGATCCCTGGGCTGAAAAGTGGCCTCAGACCAGTAAGAAAGAAGAGAGAAAAAACATTCTTCAGGAGCTGCAGGCACCAGTGGGCTGTCTGGAAAGTAGATGGGGCCAGGTGTGCTGGCTTAGCACAGTTCCAGGCACTGGCACAGACCTATTTCTCCAAAGTCAGAAGGAGAGTCCACAACCTGCAGCACATCAATAGGTGAGGCAGTCCACCAGCTCCTGGTGTGCCCTGTTCCAGCTGCTCCACACTTTACACATTCAGCTTGCCTGCTATGGTCATGAGGACTTTCAGGATGGGCATGAAACCAGACACCTCACTGAAACTGCTGCTGCTCACAACTTGAGTGTGAACCAGGAGACCCTGTGGGTAGTTCTTAGCCTCAATGCATTGGGCAATTTCGTGGAGACCCATGAGGATGGTTGGAGAGAGCTGTGGAGAGGGAGAAGAAATGAGTCAGTATGTTCAGTGATATAACACAGGTCTCTCTCCCTCCACACCCTTCATTACTGTTCTCCACTTCATCTTCACCAAACAGCACCTATACAGCCAAGCACTGGCAGGAAGGATAGCTGCTTCTCTCCTTGCTTTCCCAGACTACAAATGCCAGCTGGCATCAGCAACTGGCATTGCTAACTTCAGAGTTTTCTAAGCTAGTTACACTATGTTCACACTTAACCACTCCCAACTGCCCCTTCCCATCCAGGATCTGTGTGCCAGTATACTTCTGGAAGGGCAAAAGCACCTTTCAGATACCTCCTCAACTTTTCCTTACACTACGTCTGAGTTAAAGTTAAGAAAGAAGATACAAGGCAGGCTGGATTAATGGTCTTGGCACTCCTCTTGTTTTCCAAGAGAATATGTGCCAATTACATTGGTATAGACACCAAGACCCACAAGCCAGTGCCAAGGTGTGCTCAGGGACCCAGCAGGACCACAAGGGATGGTGGCATCTACTTACGGCCTGCTCGCGCAGCTTGTCGTACAAACACTCCAGCCGCTGCAGCGCGTCCTCCAGCTTCCTCCGCGTTTTCTGAAGCAAAACAGGGATTGCTTGTCTGCCAGAGCTTCAAAGCCACCTCTCCAGAGCCAAAGTGCTCTCACTCAGTCCCTCCCTTCCTCTGTCTTTGCACAGCACTGACAGCCAGGGTCTGTGATACAAGCCAGCCATGCCCTCACTCTGCACATATACATACGTGTACATATATACACATTCTCTCCCCAACACAGCAAGATGGATTGCCCCTTTCCCATCTCCCAGCCTAGGCATGCCTCCCTTCTGCCAGTACTTTCAGACCACAGGATAGACTGATGACTTCCAAAGTGGATGAGGAACATCCACTAGTTGACCCATGGGGTGTTCAGACAGCCTTACCCTGACTGGCCCAAGAAAGAGTTTCTTCTTGGTCTTCTTAGGGAAAAGATGGAATATCCTTCCCACTCTAGGTAACCACCAAGGAAAGTGTGTGAAGTGAGTACTGAAGCTCTGATGAGATTGAACTCATTAACCCCATCTTGAATAATCCACTCACAGATAACTTATTCCATGAACACAAATGCCTGGCTCTCGGCACTGCTGGAATAGGCCAGGAAGCCACAGGAGTTCAGGTGCCCTGCACTGCTGTACAGAGCCAGCTATTCAACCACCACCTGAGTTAAGTGCTTAAGCCCAAACCAGCAGGCCTTTCTGTCCATAGAGGGAACCTTTAGATTATACTGCAGAAATTGCTATGCTGCACTATCAAAAAGCACAGAGCAAACACACTGAAGATGCTGCTCTAGTTGCCCGACTCTGGCATAGCAGTCTGGGCTCAGTGTTCACCCTAGCACCTATCAAACAGAGGTATTCTGGAAGGCTTCTTAGTGGTCCCAAGCCCTGGGAAGACTTAGCAACCTAACACAATGTGCAAACACTGCTCTTCTGCTTCCAGACAGTCTGGCCTGACACATTCACCCAATGTGACATGTGCCAATAGCCTTTCAGGAACCAGGGTGGAGAAATTACATTTACTTGGACACAAAGATTGTTTGGCTTTCTCTTCCACCTGGGATATCTCAGCCTTTCCCTCTAAGATCTAAAGATAGCTGGTAATACCAGCTCTGCAGGAACTGTCTGCAGATCAAGCCAGTGAAACTGAATTAGCTGAGTAAATTCTTCTACTTTCCTTAAAAGAAAGAGCCAGGAGGACAGAATCATTGCTCCAAGAAGGCAATGAGCAGCAGGGGATAAAAGTTAAAGAATGCATCTCAGTTCCCAAAGATGAACAAGCCTGCAGCCTAAAGGAAGGAGGCAAATGAAGATTAACTTGGTTAGAGGGACAAGACTTTCCTTTCTTTACCCAACCAAAAGAAGGAAGCATCAGTCAAACATCTATAAGGGAAAAAAAGTCCAAGATCAGGGAAAGGAGGACTTACTGGATCAGTGGCAACGGCCGAGCAGCGTTGCACCAACCCTTCAAATGCAGTCTTCAAAGCCTGGTGCTCAGGGGGCAGCTCTTTCCTCTCAATGCTTTCCCTAGGTAGCTGGTGATACTGACAGAAAAAAAAAAAGTGCAGCTGAATGAATTCAATATGAGCATGAAAGGCTGGAACAGGTAGATTCCCCTCTTCAAACTAGAGAACAGAAAAAATTTCACCCCTTCACAAACCCAGAGAACATCTGGAAGCACAAAGTTAGGTTATCTTCAGACTGTGATACAGCTCCAGGCATCTGTGGATTCTCAGCTCCCAGCAACCTGACAGCCTGCCTGGTCTCCCTTGCTCTCTCCCACCCATACCCAGGTGTCATTACTCCAACCTGGCAATTCCTCTAATGCTCAGCAGAGATAACTTGTAAGGGCTAGGGAGCAGCATAAGCCCTCTGCAGCTGCCAAGTAGTAAGAACTTCAAAAGCTGAGTTGTTTTTCTACCTGACAAGATGCTGGTGGCTAGGGAATGCCCCACTTTCCCTGGTACCTGTAGGCTGCCTTCCTTGGGTGCTCCTGGGGGTGACTGGCCAGATTCTTGCAACCTGGATAGCTGAGGATGGATCCCTTGGGGTTCAGCAGGCACGCCCATTACTGGAGCTGTGATGGGGGCCAGAGGAGTAAATTTCTCAGGCAACTGTCAGCAAAGAAAGGAAAGAAAAAAAAATCAAAAAAACCAAGTCCAAGGAAGAAAGGTTGGTTGCTTCTCCACAGAAAAATTCAACATCCTTTCTCAAGATGATGTAAGAACACATCCCTGTTCTTTCAGTCCCCTGACTCAGAGACTAGGGCCCTTCCTCTTCCATCCTAGATGAACAGTCAAAGCGACAGCAAGAAAACCCCTCTGGAATTGTTCAATCAAACAGATCCGTTACCCCTGAGAGCACTGGTCCTCAGAAAGCCGCTTGGTCTCTGCAATGGCACGAGTCCTGAATGTAGAGATTAGCAGCAGTGAAGTGTCCAACTGAGCAAGTATTGGGGAAAATCCCACGACATGGGGGGAGATTCCTCTTGCAAACACTTCATCATGCCCCTGCTAAGCCAGAGAGTCATGACAGATTCTCTCCAACAGGGCTAGATCAAAAGGAGATGGCTTTAACAAGAGGCTAATCCTGTTGTAGTGAGCACAGCCTGAAGCAGGTTCCCAGCTATGCTGCCAGAAAAAAAGGGCGAGAAGTCTGTTCCAAGCTAAAGAAGAGGAGTGGGGGGTGGGAAGGATGCCAAAGAAGCTTCTCATCACCCCTGCCAGCAGGCACCAGTGATAGAATCGGGGTACTGAGAGCATTTGTTGCAGAAGAGCTCAGCTCACAGGCCCTCCGGTGCAATCACGACAAGGCAGAGAGCTGCAGGACCAACACGACTGGCAGCCCACAGCTACACCTGTCCCAACTTCTCTCAGCACAAGTGCCTTATCATTTGGTATCAGCATCTGAGGAAAATCACTGTTGGTCTCACTGTTCTGAGGGAAAATGCTGCCCCTAGCTGTCAGGTGTGAAGAGGATGTGACCTCCTCAGCTGCCATCAAAAAAATTGTGTAGGCAAGGGCATAAGATAAAATCTGTATTTTTAACAACAAATTATTGTAGGCAGCCTGGGAAGTACTGACAGAGGATGCAACACCAGAGCTGATAACCATATTACAAAACAACCACTCTGTAGAACAGCATGTGACTTTGGATGGCAAAGAGTCAAGATTGCTTAGACTCCTGTCCTAGCCATACAGTGCAGACGTAGACAGAGCAACAGGGATAGAGACCTGCGGAGTTTGACAGCAAGCATTTATAGGAATATATCTGTCACATGGAACTCCCTGGCTAAAAGACAACCAACACATACTGTAGCTGAAAACTTACCTTTTTCTTTTGAAGGCCTCCTCTTCCAGTAGAGGGATCACTCCAAGACTCCTGAGCTGCCAGGACAGAAGACAAGACACAAACCTCAGACTGTGAGAAGCTGGCTGCAGCAACAATCCATGCACTGTTTAGAACTTCCTTCAGGAGAAGGCCCTTTGGCTCCAATTCCCTTGTCATTGCACCTTTAGACTGTTTCAGCTGAGGAATTTCAAACCCAGCTCACAGGCCCACGAGATACTCTTGCTTCCCCTTCCCTTTCTTCTTTCTTAATTTTATTCTTTGTATCCTAGTGTGTGCACAGCCTTAATGAGGTGATGTCTGATCAGACTGAACTGGCACATATTCGCTCCCACACAGGAGACTTTCTTTTTAACTACCTGAAGCTTTCTGGATTCTGTATAAACTGCATAAATCAGCCTCAGAGTCAGGGCTGAACCTTGGTGGGGACCTGCATCAGTGTGCAGCTCACATTTCAGGAAGTTCTTGGGGTTCCCCAGAGAATCTGGAACCGTGGTAGCACAGCAACAGCTATGCTACAGGTGAGAGGGCTTCTCACCAGTACTCACAGGCATGCTCACGGTGGCAGTCCAACACAATACAGGCTGTTCTAATAAAGGCAGAAAGATTTAGGGGTGGATTCCCTTCCAAAATCATGTTCAGAACCAAAGCTTAGCAAAATTTGCTGACTGCCAAATAGAAGGGAATAAACTTAACCAGTAAATGCTTTGGGAGCAGAAGGGTGTCTTAGCAGATGCTCCTGTGGTACTCTAACCTCATTCCAGGTAATTTAAAATCCATCAAACAACATGATATCAAAAGACTTGTGTCCACTCTTCATTCTGCAAAGGTCAAATTGCAAATACCTTATCTGCTGCTATCCTGTAAAGGTACCTGCCTCTTTAGACAAAACCCCAGTATTAATCACCTCAAGCCCACGAGACACGAATAATCTGTGAGAAAACAGAGGAATTCTAAGGGGGCAATATCAGAATTGCTGGAGCTCAGAGCCACACTTAATGAGCTACTGATCCTGAACAGAGCTTTAAAAATCACAGGGTAAAGATGCAAAAGGTGCTTCATTACTTTAATTACCTTTATTATTAAAATTCTGGCAGCCTCTTTTTGCCCTCCCTTTTCCCATGATTTCAAGACTCGCTCTCTGATGAGTTTGGATCAGAAGTTTAATTAAGTTGGCACCTATTTCTAGCTTGGGGATTCTGTGCCCTAGAACTCAGCTGGCCCCCACTGAGTCTGTGGCCCAGCAGTCCTTGGCCCTATTCCAACCCAGTGGCACTCTGTATCCTCACTGGAAAGAGCTGTTTAAATTATACCCCTTAAGCCAGGCACTTAATCATCAGACATGAGACACAACAGACCCTGGTGCATTTTGCTGGGGTGAAATGCTATCTTCCCTATGCTGCTTGTGAAATAGGATTTCTCACCATCCCTGAAAAGAGTGCCCCATGGCAGCAGTCTCTAGCAATGCCTGTCCTAGAAAAAACAAGACCATCAGAAGCTGGAATCAGGGATTATCTTGGCCAAAAAGGAGATGAGCCAACATGTTGCTGTCCTTCTCCCTGTCCCTGACACTCTCGGGAACGGGGGATTTCTGCAAGTGGAGGTGTCTGTTCATTGTGTTAGTAATAATCTTCATGAGATGTAGATACTATGTTCAGGAATTTTCAAAGCAAGAAATTTTGGCCAGTCAGATTGAGTGATTTTACAGTCCATTTTCAGATTAAGAAAAATACAAATCAAAAGCAGAATAATAACAGCAGGCAAGCAAGCACTCTCAAGGAAGCCAGTTTGCACTGCTGAACTAAGCATGCCCTACATTGCCATTAAAACTGGGGACAAATGCTGCCAAGAAGGGAATTTATTAGTAGTGAATTCCTGAAGGCATCTTCAGCCTAAAGAAGTGCTTGAAATCCTTGTCCTGGAATCATCTTCCCTTAAGAGGGAGAAACTGAGGTACTTTGTTTCTCTGCTGAATGGACAACTCCCTCTCTGGAGTTTCACTCCACACAGCGAGACTGCTTGGGGATGTAAGGGCCTATAAATCCTTAGATTTCCTAAATAAAGCTGTGAGATTTGTGCCTGGTAGATTGTCCTGCCAAAGAGCAGCAATCAGAACAGTGACAGACCACAAAGACATGTAGATTAGAATATAACTACCTTCCAACACCAATGAATCCCAAGGAGAGAAATCAGTACAAAGTATCAGTCAGAAAACCCCTTGGGTCCAAATTTTCCCCCACAGTCAAACTAAAATTCAAAGCCAAACCTCACCCTTTGACTAAAGCCAAAAAGGATTTCCAGTTCCCCTTGGAAGAGAGCCCCCAAATTCTGCTTGAGAAGCTCTACTCCACCACTGCTTCTGCTGGGACTCCACCTCTTCCAAACCACAGGAGGAAAGCACAAGCAAAACCATGCACAAGGCTAGGAGAGTAACAGGGAGAGATGAATTAAACCACTGGCTTGCTCCTCACCTAGAGAACCAAGACAGGAAAACTGTCTGCTTCCCTGTCCTGCTGGCCCAGCAACTGCCTGAAAAGACAGAGACTGAAAATGGTCTAATGCCTCCAGAACTGGAGGGAAATAGGAAGGTAGAAGCAGGACACCCTATTTTCTGTGCCCAAACTCATGAGTAATAGCATAGTACTTTTATTTCACTTCCAGTATTCCCAGCTGTCACTTACTAGTCCTCAGGACAGGTATGTTCCCTACCCCACCTGTACAGCTCCCCAGGCATGCAAGGGAACAACAAACAACAAACATGCACACATGCACACACATCAAACCATGCATTTCACTGGAAGCAGCAACATTGCCTGTCCCACAGGTCTGGATGTTTCTCTGGGTACTACCTGCATGATCCGTGTGGGGATCTAGCCAAGGGAAGAAACCTGAAAATCAAGGCAGGGTGGAAAAGGCATAATCACCAACAGCTTTAATTCAGTGAATAATTTCACTGGACTACCAGGCCAAAAAGCTTTTCAGGAAGGAATTTGTCCAGCTGTAGCTTAGAGCCTTTGGTGTGTAGTCCCCACAGACTTGACACAGTGGGATTTGCTATCCTTGGATAAACACAGGTCAGCAAAGGATTTCAGGTGAAGGCAGATTTCAGCCTCAGTTCCTTCACTCTCAGCATACATGTGGCTTGGAGAAGCATCTGCTCAAAATTCTATGGATTGTCAGCTTTGTTGTTAGGGATCTCCACAGCCTGGCTAAGCCTGTCCCTTGAGACAGCAAACAGAGAATTAATAAACACGAGCTATTCTGGGAAATAGAACAGAATTTCATGGGGAACTAGGTCCAACAACACTATTCATCATGCTGGCAAGGATTTCACATGATAGACTGGATTCAAACTGTAGACCCAAAGGGGTCTAAAACACTGCAGAGAGGAATCCAGAAGTGATTCCCAGACAAGCCCTTTATGACAACAGGAAGAAAATGGTAGCTTAGAGCACAGCAGATAGAGGAATTTAATCCTGAAGCTAAATAAGGAGTATCTCATGGACAGGGAAGCTCTCCCACCATTTCAAATACACTTCTCTGTAAGTTGCATAAGCAAGGGTGAGATGAGCAAACCTTCCATCAGGCATTCCATGGGAACCACCACCCTTTCCATCAGAGCAGATGCCTTTGGAGCAGATGACTATTCAGGGTGCACTAAGGACCTGAAGAGACATCATCTTGCAACCATAACCTGGGAGACAGAATAACTGAGCAGGTTGAAAGGAACTGTCACCATTGTTGTGTTTCACCACCACAGCAAGACTCAGCACTCTGTGCTTGTAAGGTTTGCCTCAACACCACGTCCAGTCTTTATGGAGACAGACCAGACCTCAGAAGGTCCACGTCTATTACACACTGCAAACCCCACCTGGGCTTGTCTGGGACACACAAGCAGTACTTACCTGTGGGAGGAGGAGGAATGGCTGCTGGCAGTGGTTTAGTAGATGGAGCTCCAGGACCTCCCTGAGGATAACCCATGTTCATGGGGCAGTTGAAAGGTGCTGAAGAGAAGTCTAGAGGAGACTGGCTTGCCACAGGGAGAGGACAGGCTGCAGGAAGCTGAGATGATGGGACTGAGGCTGGAGTGAAGAGGGCAGGTCTGGGTGGTGGAACACCAGGAGATGTCATGGGCATCAACTGTCCTGGCAGAGAGGGCTGGCTGGAGAAAGGAGCAGGACCAACAGGTCTGACTCCCACTGGTCCAAATGGCTGAGACTGTGACACAGCTACAGACAACAAAGACAGCATATCAGCATCACTTGTTTCATGTGCTAACTACTCATGACACTAGCCTTCTTGGTAGTAAGCCTTCCCTCCTTCAAGCCATGTCCTTTAATATCCATGCCCCCTAGCCCAAGCTACATCAGTGAAACTGCCACCAAGCTAGCTGTGGCTTTTCCACCCCTATATATGCTTAGTATCAGCACACATGCAGCAACAGTCACTACAACTACATCTGTCAGAAGCACTGAGAAGCCTCTTAGACAGCTGACCTGTTCTTTGTCAGTACAATAGGCCTGTGAGGAAAAAACTACAGCAGCTATCCACATTGAAGGCTTTAGTCTCAGAAAACCTAGAAATGGACACAACTATCAGACAATGCTTACCTGGCCCTGAGACAGTTGCTGGATTCAAGCCCAAGTTGTACTGTGGATATGGGTGCCCTCTGGAATAGACACTTGTTTGTGGACCCGTGCTGGCCTGGGGAGGGGCAACGTGGTGAGGTGTCACAGGCATTGCTGGCACTGGCTGAGGTGTGAAGAGGGAAGGCACTGAAGGCTGAGATGGTGCTGAAGGGGCAAATGATGATGGATAGCTGGGCTGCAATTAAAAAACAAAGAACTTGCAAATGGCCAACAGAGTCATATGCATACACAGTACTAGCAGATGCAATTTCTATCTCTGTCACTTCTCAGGCAACAGAAGCTGCTGCTCTGCTGTTGGTGCCCTGGATGCACTCAGTCAAAGGCCTTTCCCACCATGTAACTTGCTCAACAAGATGAACACCACACTCTTCAAAGTATTCTCCAGCTCTCCAAAGGATTAGTGCTCAGGAGCAAGTTCCCATATAATGACTTCCTGGAAGCACAACCAGGAGGAAATAATGAAGGAACAATAATGGAATAATAGAGGTTGGAAGCAAAACTTTGCGAACAGTCTTCTTGTGCAAGAACTGAGGTGAAGCCATGAAGCCACACTACATTAATTTTACTAAGATAAGGGTAAGATGAGCAAAGGAAAATGACCCCAGCCCTTTTCACCTTAAGATTTAAGATCTCAGTGGATCACTACACTTGTAACATTCTCCTCCAGGGATTGCACGTAGGACAGGGCTTTGTGAAAAGATGCCAGACAGCTGGCTTTTGGATTGGCACAGAGCTTGCCTTTGCTCCAGTGAAGGACATCACTGAGGAGTTCCTCAGTGTCTGCAGGTTATGTCATCTCATATTACTTCTTATGCCTTCCACAACCCAGTAGCCTTCCTCCCTTGTCCCCAGGCACGAACACCTGAGTTTAGGGCCTACCTTCTCTGGATGTCTAGGACCTGCTTTGTGGGCTGCTCCTTCAGGGATGGAACCACCCTTGGCTGCTGCGGGTTTAATGACCCCTACATTGACACGAGTGTAGGGAAAAGGAGGTGGCTGCTGATCACCCACGTTCCCTCCTTGAGCATGAAAGAGCCGGTCTCGGAGCTGTTCAATCAGGAGCTGAAACAAACCATGCTTTAGAAGAAGCACTTTGAGAGCCCCAGATGGAAAATGCTGGGGAGGCATTTAAAGTAGACCCTGACCTAAAGCACTATGAATCAAACTGCAAAACTAACTGTGTCCCCAACAATCAGCAGGAAAAAAACCTCAGCAAATGGTAAATGACAATCCAGGACATCACCTGCCTTACAATTAGGCAGATGAAGTCTCACTGATCCTTCCCCCAGTCTTTATAGTATTCCCTCCCCAACCCCTACCCACATTTAGATGGATTTATTTCAAACTGCCAGGTGACCTCCTCATTCCCTTCCTCTACCAGCTAGTTTCAAGAAGAGAGGCAGCTTCCCTGGCAAGCTGTGTCTCAGTGTTGTTCTCCATCAACCATTTTACAGTTCTATAACTCTTTCCTTTTCCTTAAATCAAAGGCACTACAAAGAAAATGCAAATGAAGACAAAACCCATATCCTGGAATACCTTTCCTCCTCCCCCTCTATTCTCAAGTTAGCATAACTAAGGTGAAACTTTAAGTCCTGAGGCATGACAAAACCCCAGCTCTCTCTCATACAATTTCCCTCCCCTATACTCTCTCTCAAAACAGCTTGCTGCTCACCTCTTTAGAGCTGCTGGGTAGGTAATTCATTGCAGCTGCCAAGCATCCTTGTGATGCCAGGAGGTTGGCATACTGGGTGATTCGTTCTGCCAAGACAGGGCCTGGTGCTGGTCCTGCGGTGCCTCGGAGCATCTCAATGGACCTGCTCAGCACCATCACCTTCTCTATAAGATCCTGAATAATACAGGAGGAAGGAAGAAATAAGACTACTCAGAATCTGACTAGTTTTATTGGTCAATCTCATGCTGAGACAATACCAGGTGGCTCTCCCCATTTTCAGTTGACATCAGGGCCAGTGTGGACAGAAGTTATTCCCCTCTGCACCAAATACTGTCACTGATGACCATTTCCTCAGATGCATTTGGAGAAAAACAGGAACCAGGAAGCAAACCATGACATTGCTACTTTAATAGTAAGGGAAAAAATGAAAATCAGAAGCCGCAAGATTATTCCAGTCAACTGTGATCTTTTTACTAGGAAGCTACTATTGTTACAGGTGATCAACTTGGAAGAGGAAGGCTTAAAACCATACCAAGAGAAATTCACTAGAAAAAACTACTACTGCTGCCAAAAGGACCAGAAGGGTTTTAGTTACTCAAAACTCCTTCAACTCCTAGAAATGAAAGCAGTGTTTACAGCTGCAGAATGATACATGCAGAATGATACATCTGGCAACTGGGAGGAGGCCAGTTTCAGAAACAACCAGGAGTGCTGAAGATGCCTTTTTGTTGCTTTTACTCAGTAGTGGGATTACAAAGCCAGTGAACTCTGTAGCAGAGGGCATTATCTGCAGATATTCAAGTGGAAGACTTGTCTAGCTCATTCTAGCAAGTGACAGATACAACAGGGCTCAGTGACTTTGGCAGGACTGGTTTAAGTGTAGCAGATTACTGAGATTAACTCAGTTGGTCAGAGCATGATGCTGGTAATACCAAGGTTGTGGATTCAATCCTCATATGGGCCATTCACCTAAGAGCTGGACTCAATCCTTGTGGGTCCCTTTGAACTCGGATTATTCTGTGATATACTCAATAGGAATGAAGAGAGGTAGGTAACAACATTGACTTAGAAGTCCTGATTTATCTGCAAGGTATGACTTCTCATATATCATGATTCTACTTGCAGTGGGAATATCATGATCCAGAGTTAATTTTATTTGGCTAAGGCTGTTCTGAAGGTAGAGCCAGATAACTGCAGCATTATGTTATACCTGACAAGCACAGCAGCAAACGTATCCCAGGCTACTACCAGTAAAAAAAAAAAAAGGTATAGTTCAAACTTCCCTGACCAAAAGGAAGCTCAGAGATGACATCAGTATGTACGAGAGGCAAGTAGGCTGTAACTCCTGTCCACGGCTGGATTTATGTGCAATGTAAACACACAAACCCTGACTGATTCAGGGTGCAAGCCTCCTTTTGAAGTAGGACCATAACCCAGGCTAGAAGGAGATACCTGGGTGAGTACAAACAGGTCTCCACTGTCTGCTGGAAGCCAGACACCCTGATGGGAAAATGCAAACAGTTCAGGGCTACCAGACAGGCCTAAAGAGGAGTCCAACCAATATCACAGGGCCTGTACCTGTAGGGCAAGTGGTGATGAAGTCTCATGGTTTTTAACCCAGCATTCCACCAGCCTCTCCACATTGCCTGATGAGATATAGCAGAGGCAGGCATCATTGCACAGGGCTGCATCTCCCTCTGACTCCAGGCGGGCACCGAGCATGTCTAGAGAGGAAGAGATGCAGCCAACATTTAACACACTCCCCTTTGGAAGAGCTCATTAACCCCAGTGATTTGAATCTGCACTTAATTAGAATCAAAGAATCATTAGGTCAGGAAAAAACATTGAGTCTAACTATAAACCTAGTACTGCCAAGTCCCACTAAACCAAGATTTTAAGTGCAACATATACTTGTTTTTTAAATAACTCCAGGGATGGTGACTCCACCATTTCCCTGGGCAGTCTGTCCTAATGCTTGACAACCCATTGAGTGTAGGTGGTTTTCCTAATGTCCAATTTAAACTTCCCCTGGTGCAACTTGAGGCTGTTTCTTCTTCTCCTATCACTTGCTGTTTAGGACAAGTACAACCTCCTTTTGAGTAGCTATAGAGAGCAGTAAGGTCACTTCAGTCCTCCTTTTCTCCATGTTAAACAACCCCAGTCCCCTCCGCTGCTCCTCTTAAGACTTGGGATCTAGACCCTTCACCAGCTCCATTGCATAACTGTTGGACAACAGAGAAATGGGAAGGAAACCCAAAGCCAACCCGGTTGAAAAAAAATACTTTTCTACATCTGTCAATTTTTATGTCCAAACACATAAAAGAAAGAAATGACAGATGAGTTCAGTGAAAAAATCCAACACCTTTTTTTTAAATTTCCAAAAGAGGTGTGGGAATCTCCAGGCAATAGTAGGGTGCTGAAACCTGTTTTAGGTGGAATGAAGCACACTGGATCTTTTACTGTAAATGAAATACCCTACTCCATAGAATAAAAATCACCCTCTTCATGTCTCAGCCTAGGAATAGCATCTATCCTGGTTTATTTCCATGCTACTTCTACAGGTCACAGGAAATACTCACATACACAACTTTACACCATGATTCTCAGCTACAGTGTGCACCTATCGTTCTCCAAACTCAACACTTCACACTTAAATAAATTCCAGATAGCTGTAATGAGTAAGAAGTGCTTCCTTTTCTTAACTCTATCCACTTCTTTCTGTAAGCAGTCCAGAGGTACTGCAAGGGAAATTGAATCAAAACATGGTGCACTGCATACCACAGAGCTGAGTGTAGTCTTCGTGCTTTGAGTACGTTAACAAGATGGCCAGTGCCTCCTTCCAGCTCTGTAGATCACATGTGCAAACAATATCTTGCCACTTCTGCTGCACAATGGAGGAAAGCAGCTGTAAGGGAAGCAGAAGGCCTGTCAGTCACTGAAGAAAAAGATAAGCTGACAATCCAAGCAACAGCTCACTTTCAAACACGCTTTCCACCATGCAGAGACTACCTCACTATACATTAAAGTCCAACAATGTCAGCATCCCTATGTTAACAGTAATTGGAACCTGATGCCTCTAAAAAAAGTAAAAAAGCCCAACAAAGCACTTAAAAGAATATGGAAATAGCCACACTAGACAAGACTAAAGATCTAACATGTATCTTGTTTCAGAGCAACTGCTATCAATGACTGGGAGCACAGTATTAAGATATCCTCTGTTACACTTCCCCATTTGCAAATTAATAAGCTAGGAACTTCCAAGTTGAGCTGTAAAGGGGCAGTATGCACCACAGGTTACAAGCATGAGAAGCTGAGACAAAAACCATTAAAAAAAAAAGTAACAGAGAACACAAACATACTATGTAAACAACATAAAATTGTCATAAAACTACCAAGATATTAGAGTAAATGCAATAGGAGATGCACAGATTCTGCTGACATTCTACTTCCTTCATTGAAGAAAAAGCATTTCCACATGTATTCAGAGAAACATTTGGCAAGACAGTACACACCTTCCCCTGCTCACAAAACCATCACTTACCATGGAGAGATTTGTTTTCTGCTTGGCAAAGTAGCGCTTCTGGGTTTCCTTTAGGAGGTTATCCCCACCAGCTATAGCTAAGATGATGGCATCAGCAAAGCGCTCTGCTCGCATGCACAGCTCCACTGCACCCTCAAAATTCCCCAACAGAAGGGCTTGGCTGATGAGTCCATCTGTATCTACAGAGGTCAGAAGCAGAGTCAACCCAAAGAGTCATCACTCAGATGCATTGATGATACTTGTTTTAAAGAGCAGGCCTTAAAAAGCAGTAACAGCTAAAAGCCTAGTTAAAAGAAAATTTGGAAACTCAAAATATCCACTGAACTGACTCTAAGTCTTCCATCATCTGGAGGATTCTTCTAAATTTTTAATGGGTCTCTCATCTGGGGGAAGTATTTCTATGCTCAATGCGAAATGCTGCATAACACTTGAAGGGGTCATATGTTTTGAAAGTATCCATCTGCTGGAGCGAACTTCCTGGTCTCTGAATTTTCTGGTTTTCCCTCCTCTCCCATTTTCCTAAGAGGGCAGAAACACTCTTTATGTAACATACCTTCTGTGACAGGAATCTCCAATGTGCTCATATTCTGTGGGATCAGGTTATCAAAAAAGGCTGAAGAGGAAGAAACAGCAGCTACATCATCGCTGGAATTCATCAAAAGCTGTGCAAAAAGTGCAAGACTTATTTAATTCACTGCACACACATATTCTACCCAAAACAGTTTAATGGATTACTGGGTGGGATGGGGCTGCTCTCCATTTGGTTGTGCATGCTCATATAAATCTAATTTCAATTTGGAAACTCCTGTCACTGCGCAATCAATCTGCACAGTTTCACAAGGGAAGCAACAAGAGCAGTGCTGCAATTGGCAAAGCTTAGGAGATTGATGGTGCAAGACATGCAATGCCAACAGCACTGCTGGGCAGCATTTGTCAACTCAACTGTCAGCCCTTGAGCAAGATGAACTATTTTGGATGGAACAGAGACAAGAACAACAAGTAAAATCTGTAAATAACAGGTTGGATCACAGCCATGCATGGTGCTTTACTGAAATGCAGGACACAATTGCTACTCCTGGAATATCTCAGCTAGTGTTTGAGGCTTGTGAAGATGATAACTAATCAGAGGATATAAGTTTTAGATACCTCAGAGGAGAAAAATTTACAGTGAACCAAGCCTTGGAAGGCATCTGAAGATGGACATCCCAAAATCATATGAAAAAACATTTCAGAGGATAGAGGTGAAAAAGGAAAAAATACCACAGCAGAAGCTTCACAGAGGAAATCCAGAACAGTAGCCTCAAGTTCATCTGGGGTGAGGCTAATTCTAACACTGAAGAAATCAACACAGGTGAAGTAATCCTTCCTGTAGGAATAACAGCCAGGAGTCCTTCACTGCTCATTAGTTAGTTTTAAAGCCAGAAGGGAAAGTTATTATCATTTAGTCTGACCCTGTGAGGGTCTGATAGGCCTGTGAACTATCCTCTGCAATGCCAGCATTGAGCTCAACAAGCTGTGGTTGAAATTAAGACCTTCCAGTTCATTCTGCTCTTCTCTGCTCTCCTAAGCTGGCAAGATGTACAGGACATACCTGATCTGCTGCAGCATTTGTATCACCTGCCTCAGGAAGGGGCTGTTTATCTGGGATCCCGTTACTCAAACACAAGGCAATCTAGAAAAGTAACAGACATGAACAGAGAAAAGCAAAGTAAGCACCTGGACAGCAAAGCTACCAAGAGACTGGCAAGCCCCAGTCACAATTCCCCCAACTCTTTCACCCGTTTGAAAACTTCCACCTCACCCTATTCCTGGCTGACTGCCTATCAGAGATTATCCTTTTCAGATCATTATCCATCAGTACTATGCCAGACTGTCTCCACCTGTCACCTTCTTCCTGGTTGAAGAATCCCCTAAGATGCAGAGAGCTGAATTCTAAAAGAAGCTCTCACAACTGCATTGTTGTTGAACGCTTCCCAGTGCACCAACAACTGAAAGCAAGATAACGGGGCTCAAGACCCCTTTGGCTACACCCTTACAAGTGCTTGCATTTGCTTTTTAGTGGGGTATACTTCATGTGACTCCCAGCTGAAATTTCACACACTTTTGTAATTTGTGTGCTATGAGATCACTTGCTCAGTTCCAGTAGGACCCTGCAACTCTTCTGCAACAGCTTTAGTCCTGTATATGTTTCTATCTATTGGAAATACCCTTTACCTTTTTTTGCAGATCCTCTTTACTGTAGCCCAGCAGCTTGAGAAGTTTAGTCCTGGACTCCTGCTCCAAATTCACCTGAGTCCCAATGGATATTAAAAAGACAAAAAATATGTCAAATCATAGACACCTACACACTGACAATAGTTAGCTGCTTCTGGCAGCAGCAAATTCAGAGCTCGGTTTACATATAAAGAATTCAATGATGAAAAATCCACCTAATAACTATTGTGTAAAGATGTATGGAATTTAAGTTATAATCATAGTAAAAGGGCAAAACTCAAGTTTGCCACAGTTACAACTGAGGTACAATATGTATCAAAACCATGACTGTATACATACTTACTGTACTTGGTCATTAATTCCCTGGACAATCTAGGAATTGCCAAACTAATCTCTTCACAGAAAAAATTGACTGATTTGAATCTGCATGAAACTGAGACAAGGTGGTTGCCTGAATTGCTAGCTGGCTTCACAAGAATTAGTTAACTGTCACAGAAGCTCCCTGGACGAGGATTTCAGACACTCCCAAAAATTCCCACAGGCTGCACACAGCCTAATTGATAGGCACTATTTATATGCTTTAATGCATGATTTACATTCTGCAATGAGAATCTGTCTGTCTCAGTTAAGTCTCATGCTGCTTCTTCTACACAAATGAGCAAACTGTACATGTATAAGATACTTGTAAACAGTCAATTTCAGAAACTGTTCCTGCAGAAGCAGGAATGGTGCTGCAGGACACTTTTGTACAGAAGCCTAGGTTGTAGTTTAAGACAATCAATTGTAATATGTCCTTTATGTGCTGGAGTGTCTCTCAGGACCACACACCAGATGGACTATAAAAAGTGACTTGAAATGACAGCTTGATGTGTCTCATTTATGCAACTGAAGACATTGTTGCAATGGAGATCACTTTCACCACCTAGATAACAGCTGGCCATCCTGTTCATGATTCCCCACACAAATATAATACTGTGGCAAATATCTCAATATTTTGCCCTCCACACAGTCTGCTACAAGTGTCTGTAAACAACTGCCAAGACTAAGCCCTGCCTCTTCAGAAGGACGACCTCTTCCTATTACCAAACTCTCATGCTGCCAAACTGTCCATGAAGGTTAGTCAGTCCTCTTGCCACCACAGCTCTCTCCTTTGTTCTGGGGTATCTCATTGTCCATTTGGACTTCACCTTAAAAAATTATAATGTACAGCTCCACAGGTTGCAGGCAGATATAGCTTGGCAGTGTTGAGAGAAAAAGATCCTATTTCAGGAAGCCCAAACAAGTCCACTGGAAAGACCCTTCCTAATGAAAACCAAGACAATCTCCAACACCTCAACTTTCTTTAGAAAAATAATAAGCATATTCATTCAATTCCATTTTATATTTTAAAGAACAGGAATATAAAGATGACCATATTCCACCCCATGATCATAGAAGAACTGACCTCTGTATTTCACCACAGCCATCCTACCTTCAAGAAGTTCCAAAGGTTCTCATCAAATGGCAACTTGGCTGTCTGGATCTTGCCCTGGCAGTAATCAAGGAGGTTCCCTGACTGCAAGGCCATCTGCAGCTCTTTGGATCGGAGTAGGAATTCAGTTTCAGTAGTGACTTGACTGATGAATACCTGGTGTGGATAAGTCTGCTGCATTTGCTGTCCAGGAGCTTTGGTTAGACCAAAGGTAATCAGTTTTCCTCCAAACTGAGAACGACAGAGAGAGACACAATAGGTATTCTTATAAACAAAGGTAAAAGCTACTCAGTTCTTCATTTAGCAAGGCATACCCAAGCTCCAGCAGTGATCACAAGGAACCCAAGAGTTTAGTGTGCATGGATGGTATGAGCACTGAGGGAGCTCTCATTATGAGCCCTTCAGATGAACACTGATAAACTTGACACTTGTGCATATCCAGTCAGGCCTAGCCAATTGCAAGTGCCAGAGAGGCACAGAGGAAAAAGTACCATTGAATAGAACTGTTAGTTCTTTTGTGACATGGAGAGGCAGACTGCAGTGATAGAAACTATCAGGTGAAGAGCAGGCACTAGACAGACAACAAACAAGTCAAGTAACAGGCTAAAAGAACAATTCAGCAATCCAATTTAAGAGCAAAGATGTGAGGAAAATTAAATGCCTGGATAGGAAAGAGACAGAAAGAAGAGAATGGGAATGCATGCCAGCCTGCAAGGACAGCTTTTACAAGTTTTTCTTAGATTATGTTAACTTCTACTTATAATCTCCCATTCTCCACTACAGGACTCTTTCTTGCTGGGAGTATATCTGAATATTGAGAGTAAACAAACTTCACTTAATGGGACACCACAATGCACCTTAAACAGGCATTAAAACAACTAGCAACAGGATGATAGAGGTTTTTCCAGTCAAAGCAAAGGACTGTGTCACAAGACAACACATCTATTGCGTTTTCAGCTAAGGATGAAAATTCACTTACTGCAAATGAAACCCCCACAGGTCTCCGAATCCACCTGGGTGGCTTTTTTAATGGTGGAATCAAGGTGGTCTGAGTTACTTGCTCTGGCACCTGCAGAGGAGGAAGGCTCTGTCCTGTGCCAAAGGGATCCAGGTTGTTGAAGGAGGAAGAGATCTAGAATCAGATGGAAATAGGAATAAAATATAATTAAATTCCTCTCTGTATGGAGTAAGCACAAAAAATTATTGCTTAGGAACTCGTTACTTTCCACACTGATGAAAAATGAGGCAAGAACAGCACCTCTTTCTGGAATACCACCGAGTCCCTGTGCAAGAGAAAGGGCATTTCAAAACAGTTCCAGCAATCATTTCTCAAGGAAGTTTTACCCTAAGAGACTTTCAAGTAGTTTTTCCTTAGCAAGATGCAAATTTCCTAAAAAAGCACTGCTAGGCCTAGCACCCAGCTCAAATAGAGGAGTTGCAAAATTACTTTTATGCAAGATAATGACAACATATGGCCAAAAGTTGTCCAACTTATTTCTTGTTTTTCTCACAAAGGAATTCTGACTCCCTTTTTATTGCTGGAGTCTTTCAAATGGGTTAGTTTCAAGGACTGTCTCAAGCTTTTTTGGCTTCAATGAGACTAACGAAATAAAAATTTCTTGTCTAGACAAGAGAGCGACAAAAGTGGCCCCTGAGCCAGATTTCTTACATTTAGGGAGTCAGTGAACATACATACAATGTTGTTCACAAGCACTTTTCATTTTTAACATTGTTTGCATAGATTTTTTGTTTGCTAAAGATAATCCTGTTCAAATCTGACTGGACTGTAGGGAATAGCTTTATAACTCAGCTAACCAGCACACCCTAAAGGAAGCAACATCAGGCTGATCAAGCTAAGGCTGCCAAATCTTAGAATCACAAGCAATGTTTTGTCTTTCTTCAGAGAAAACCAATTACAAAGAAATAATAATTCCTGAGGAACAGCTTATATCCAACAGATCAAACACCCTAAACTTAAAGAAATAAATATACATAACCAAGTCTGCAATAGAGTTTCTGTCCTGAGACTACTGAATTCATAAGAGAGAGACCTCTTGGTCACAAACTCCCTGTCACCATAACTGTCATTATTTCCTGCTTGTGTTCTTACTTGATATTCAATTTATTCAGGAATTATTCAACACTACTGTTCCCCAATTTTGAACAGTGGAAGCATGGTGCATGCACATGAAGAATGCAGAGAAAGAAAATTCTCCATGGGTTAAATAAATCCTTAATCTCCCACAGCTGTTGCTTGATAAAGTATTTTCTGCCTCTTGCAAATCCTATGAAACTGAACTCAGTCAGCTGTAAATGACTATATAAATAACACTTAAGCCAGTTCATACGTATTCTCTTAAAACCTGTATTGTAAGGCATTTGTTGGCTGGGACAGAGGAAGGGAATTAAAAGACTAGACACCAGATTAGAACTAAAATTTTAGACAGTAGTGACAGTTAATCTGTTCAGAGTTTGCTCATCTATTCATTGGCTAAGTAATAGGTTTCAGTATCAAAAATATTAACATGCTCAAAGTTGTAGTCAAAAGACTTGAGGAAAATTGCTAATAGTGGTTTATAAGCCACTTTATAAAATTACCTTCTAAACTAATGAAGAATAACATATCCTATGAATTAGTATCAATGTATTTAATGTTAACCTAATGACAAGAAAAGCTGGTGTACTACTTTATTTTTAGTCTAACAGTAATAACAATAAAATGTATCTTAACATCACAACTGCACTTGCTCTTGGTTTTCTTTACACACCTTTCTTTACACATTGCCTTGTCAGAGGCAATGTGGTCTCTGGAATCTGGTGGGATTATGAAACCCCCACTCAGGTAGCTTCTGGTTCCCACACCATACAGCCATAGGTCCAGGTGTGTGGGACAGACTGCATCGCTTAAAGGTGACTCTGTTACACACACGTGTGCTGCCACCACTGTGAGCAGTCACAAGAGAAACTGCCAGTCTGTCAAGGTCTAACACGGACACAGGACTTTACCTTGTCAGCCTGTGTCTTCTGCTGAGCTTCTAAGTTCCCGCCCATAACAGAATAAATGTTGATCCACCCATCGAAAGTGGCAGCAGAGAAGACTGAAGGATTCCTGGGACACCACTGGACATCAAAGCACCACTGACTCCGAATGGGCAACTCATACACCACCTGTCACACAAAGAGAGAAGATACAAGCACAACACAAACAGCCTCCTGCTTTCCCCAAATCACTTGCCCACAGCAAGCCTGTCACTTTATTTACATGTCACCATTGCATACAAATCTCTTATTTTTGCTTCTTGAAGGGTGCCTTTGCAACCAAATTATTGCACCTTGAGACCAAACTGAAAGTCACAGAAAACTCATGTTAAACTGGATTCTGACTGTAGAACAAAACCCAAAAGTGAAAAGTCACTTTTGCTCTGCTTCCTGAGGTCTACTGTATCAGAGTATTATAGCATTGTCACATTTGTTGTTAACCAAGGGAGAGACACCAGAAAACAAAACAATAAAACCAGAAGTCAAGAGGCAAGAATGTGTCATGAGCAACAACACGTAAACAGAAAGAATAGTGTGGAGCAACAAATGTGACAAGGAAAATAAAGAGTCTAAAGAAAAAAATATAGAACGAGAGGACAATGTAATAGCTGCACATGAACTGTGAAGGACATTGCAGCCAACAAGTTTATGGTTCAGCATTCAAAAAGTCAAAGTTCAATTCACAGACTTCCTGCCTGATGTTGGGCAACTCCTTAACACAGCCTTGACTTTAAACCTCCCATTTGTAAAATGAACATATTTCCTCTACGGTTACAGAAACAAGCTTCGTTTTCTGTGGGAATGTGATTTGTGGTTTCTGTTCCAGATAGAAGTGAATTAATATAATTTGCTTATATTAAAATCTAGATTGCCAAATAGAAAAACTAACAAACAAATCCCAAGAAACCAAACGTCCCCCAAACCCAAAGAAACCAATACTTCCCTCAAACTTACAAGATCAGCCATTCTGTACAACTGTATTCATCCTTAATACTGCAAAGCTTCCCAACTTTTTCACTTGAAAATTTGCTGTTCATTGGTACCAAGTCAATAAGAGCCCCCTAATAGTAGTTTATACACAAAAGCCTAATTTTAATTTGGACTCTGCAAATCTACAGCAGCATGCACAAAGATAAGTCAGCCACACTGATTTCTTTTTAAGTTTTCCACTAAAAGACAGTGAAAATATTTTTGTAAAAATTAGACATCAGGAACATTTCAGAGTCTGAATCTCTTCTAACCACTAGAGATCTAGACAAAATGAGCATCAAACCCCATGAAACTACAAAAGCAGCATTTCACACATTTTAGGAAAACAAATTAATTATTTTCCTTGTCTCCAAGGCAAAAGTGGGCAACTGAGTGATACTGCCCCATTAAATTAATCTAGCCTGAGGCTCCCATCTAGACTTTGCTCAATATTGTTAGAGCACTTTCCCCGTGCTATCATCAAGATCAACTGCATTGTCCGAAGTTCAGTTTTATCCAGGATCTCTGCACTGAATGAATGGGTGTGCATAACAAAAATTGTAAATAGCCCCACTTTAATTCAGGTGATACCTAAATATACCAAGTATGGTAATTCTGAGATACATGGCTAGATAAGCGCATACATGTGAAACCACTTTACTACAAATAAAGTTTACACACATTGTTTAACTACACTGTTCCCTTCTCAGTGACCCTCTCTAACATATGCTCCTTGGTCTCCTTCAAATTTCCTCCCAAATGAACTTACTACTCTAGGAGAAGGAAAAAGAAGAATCACATGTAAAGAGAGACCACTAAAGTGTTACCTTAGCAAAAGTAATTATAAATAGTTGAAACTAAATTTTAAGTTAAAGTTTTCTTCCCTCTCTGATCTCTGGACAAAGATGCATCAGCAAAAACCTATTTCACTCTGGATATGGACCACACTCATTCACTTCAGAAAGAGTGCATAAGACATGCTTGAGGGAATTACATTGGCACTCCACAAGGATAAAGGGAAGGACACACACAGAGCAAAGTACACAACATAAAGCAGACCATGTGTACTGATAGCTGTGGTTACATACCTCCCCCGTACTTGGGTTCCAGCACAAGATCCGGTTGTCTTTGGCACTACTCAACAGCAGTTCAGGGTCAGCCTGGCACCAAGAAACAGAGAGAACTCCCCTAAAATAGATCAGAAAGAAATCAGTCATATTTCCTGTACAGTTTGTTCTGCCATCCAGTCACTAAGAAAGCACCATGCACCAGCACCTTGGCTCAGAAATGCTAGTTCTCATCTCCACCTTCAACCAGATTCATCTGGAAAAGAAAGCAGGCCCAGGAGAAAATCACAGTTCCCCTAAGTCCAGTCTCCCAGCTGTCTGCCTTGAAAAGATGCAACACAACATGCAAGTCCTCACCTGGTGTGCCCTTCCAGCTGGCTAAGAGGAGAGGTAGCAAAGCGTAAGTCCCATATTTGGATCACTGGCAAACGGTCATCCTCAGAGGAAAGGACGAGCTGGGTTGCAACTTCTGGATGCCAGGCCATTCCTGAGCAATGCATCTAGGGACAAAAATAGCACAGGCTGAAAATTCAGCAATGCAAGTTGGCAATAGCACAAATGGGCCAAAGCCATGTCATTCTGTACTGAACTCTCCCAGAATGCTTGACATAAACCAAATCTAGTAATGTCTTGCTCCAAGCAGCAAGCATTTCTACCATCTCTTCACAGCAAAAAAAACCCTACTAACCACATAGAAGTCAAAGTCCAAAGCTGGTCTAGGAAGAAAGCTGGGAGGCTTCTCATAAATGAGTTGTGAACACAGAAACTGAATCCAAGAGTACATGAATTTTAAAAACAGTAAGGGGCCTTGTTTCCCCATTTCATTCAGAAAGAAGAAAAAGAGGTGCTTTGATGCTATGTCTCCAAGAAAACTAGTTTCAGCAGCTCCTAGAATAAAACCACTTGTCCCAAGAGTCTGTGCCACTGCTTTGTAGTCCCACGTGGCACGTTGTAAGCTAGTTAGAAATGCAGCTTTTCTCCACTCACTCTGTTGCTGTGGTCACTGACTTTGATGATGGGCTCATTCTTCCTGAGGTCCCAAACCACAGCCTTGCCGCTGGGGTGAGCAGAGGACAGGATATGCTGCACCTGCCGATTCCAGGACACCACACTGATGTCTTCATGTGGCTGCCAAGACAGGAAAGGCCACACATCCATTATGCCCAAGCTGAGGGAACACTCACAGGAGTCTGTCAATAGTTTAACTAAGGGATAAGGGATTTGATGATACATAGATTCCTCTCTTCAACTGCTGATCAGTAACTGGAAATACCAGCAGCACTAACCAGAAAGACTAGGGGAAGTCCTTACTCAGAGTACAGTGGACAGCATTCTATAGGGGAATGTCACCTGGAAAAGTACCTCTGCATTTGAGGAACAGGCACTGGATTCTACATTGGCCAAACATGTTATAAATCACTCCAGAGAGAACTGCAGCTAAGCACACACATATGTTTCTACCCCAATTTCTCAGATGAACTTAAATGGAAGGATGACCTTGTGCAACATTTCAGGAGTGCAGTGAGACGGAAAACAATGAAGTATTCATGACTAATTGCTGTTATTGTACCTACTGCAATGCAGGAGATAGGCAAGGAAACAAACAGGAGACGTACTGGAAGAAAAACTTGGCCTGCTTTTACTGAAGTTTACTACGATTTTTCTACTTTCAGGAGTTGATTGCCCTGAATAATACAATAAGCATCAGAAGATCAGAAACTTCTTCCTCTTCAAACTCAGGAAATATTATCTGGGAGCAATAGCCAAGATGCATTTAATGGCTCACTGGCTCTGCTAGGGATATGACTTTCATGAGATATGAAAAGCCTCAGCTGAAGCCTGAAATAAATTCATTCCTCAGAGAAGGTCCAATAAACCTTCTTAATCCATCACACATGCCCCAGCTGGATCACAAGATAAACTGGTCAGTTACTTGATTCAAATCCACAAAGAGCTTACCCATCCATGCAAAGTGCATCCTTCCAGAGCTTGCCAGTCTACCTCCCCTCCCTTTACAACACTTCTTCCACCCCCAAGAATGAAACCAATCAGTCTCTTCTGATTCATCTCTCTCCTGACAGACTTCAAAGTCATTCCCCTTTCACAGACTGACTAGGCTAGGATGTCTCCACACACATTTTTTGTCTTGCCTACTGAGATACAAAACTGCACGAGTATTGCCCAGAGGAAAACTCATTTACCTGTGATTTAGTCCCCGGAGTCATAGGCACACTGAAATTATTCAAGTCCCAGATGAAAATTTCAGAATCATTGGCTCCAGAAGCCAAGAGATTATTCTGTAGGGAAAAAAAAAGGAAATGCTCAGCTGAGATTCCTGCTCACAGATTTCTTAAAAATAAATGCAAGCAAAAACCCCAAAATCTTCCAAAGTGAGATGAGAGCTGTATTTCACAGCCATGGGCATGCATAAAGATACTAACTGGATTATAAACCAAGCACATCTCTGGCCTCCACGCCATCCACTGCAGCATAGTACAGACACATTTAAAATTTGTCTGTTTTGTGCAGATGGCTGCTGTTAATCACGATGAAATTCAGCCACAGGCCTAGAAGCCACCATCTCTGGCCAGCTGAGCTTTTGCCTGGCATCAAGGACATTTCTTCTGAGAAGATGCAAGTTTCTCACAACCAGCTGCAGACAATTTTCCATTTGCCTTTGTGCTACTACAAGAAACAGGTTCTGTTTGCTCCTCATTTATGTTGCAGTCCTTTCAAATGTGATCAGAGCCCCACTGAATTAAACACCAACTGAACAAACTAAAAAATAAAAGTTTTAATTTTGAAAGGACAATGGTTTGACACGTAACAATATTACAAGACATGTTTTTATAGAGAGGTATGTGATTCGAACAAGGTCACAGGGGAATTCAGAGGCAAAGCTGTGAAAAGAACCCAAATCTGAGTCTCAAACTAACCTCGTGTGACAACTGCTGTGCCTCTTAAGTTAAAACTTGTCCCTTTACTTATGAATCTATACACAAAGGAACGTATTTTCTAACATGGAGATTAACTTTCCTCTGGTATGTCAGTGTTACACACCTGGAAAGGGTTGAAGTCAAGGGCTCGAACAGGACCCGAGTGCTTCTCTGTCTGTGCAATGACAGGGTCGCCCTTCGAAGCCAGGACGCGGTGCGCGCTGTACATCGTCAGCACTCCGTTATCCCCCCCGCCAATCACCACCCCAGGGCCCTCCGCAGATCCATTCCCAAAGTTCCCCCAGATCAGCTTATGAAACCTACAAAAAGAAGAAAATAAAGCTGGCATAGGCCATGATGTTTGGTGGAAATCAAGACACCCTCTTCATTACCAAAACTCACATTCCTGTTTCAACCTATCAAATATATCCATCAGTCTGCACTTTAAACAATCATCTCCCTTTTAAGAGGACTGTGGCTCTTGCATGCAAAAAAAGAAATAAGCTTCCTTCCAATGACTTTTCAAGGGAATTTAAAAGGGAAGAGCTTGTCTCTCTTTTTTCGGCTGTTTTGTTGTTTGCTTAAAACTTTTAGGACCTCACATAGGATTTGGTGGTTGAAATCCTCTATCCTACACTTTACTGAAAATTAGTAAATTAAGAGATCTACATGCCTTCATTTCCAGAGCTGTTATCTGAAAAATATGTTTACACCCTTTAAAATCTGCTAGTTAGAAATCCAGGCTGTGTTTTACACTGGGGGCAGACGTCACCTACACTGACAAGCCTAAGAAATCATCTTGTTTTAAAGAGCTGGAAAGTAAGTTTCACTGTGTCTATAGTCTCCTCAGCGCAAATTGTTAGCCCCAGCAAATCTGCATTATACATAATGTCTCTAGTGACTGACTACCATGCAAGTAATTTCAGATTTCTCTCATATTCCGCCTGCTCTACTTTTATACCCAATATGATCTGTATCAACAAAAATGTTCCATTTTTGAAGAGAGGTCAATTGATTCAAAAGATAACTTTATATGCTGTAAACATTATCCCCTCCTCTCCTTTCTTGCACCAGAAAACCCTTTTCAGTTTCATTGATTGATACATCAGTATGAGCTTCCAGTACCTGTTTGAGGCAGGAAGTGCTCCTTTCTGCTTCATATCCAGGGAGGGATCCCTGAAGTCAACCTCAAATATTTCCAAGGTGGCATTTGTACTGAAGGATGCATCCAGTTGTTGGGCAGATGTTCCTAGCAGAAGTACAAGGGGAACACAAGTGGACATTTTTATCAAAAGCACAAGACACAAAAAGAGTAAGGCACTGAAAACCTATTCTTCATGGTCAACACAACCCTGGTGTTGTAACAGTTCAAAAGAGGACATGTCTGAACACCTCAGAAAAAAGAATCAATAATTATGACAAAGACTTTGAAAGAAATTAAAAGTTCTTCAGGAAATTCTCATCACCAAGGTTACTGGTACACAAATAACTTTCTTTCTTGGGATAGGTGCAACTCATGCACCCTCCTCCAAGCAACTGTGGCTTCTGATATTAAGTTCTTCCTAAATTACAAAGGCACTGACATAATGAAATCCATCTACAGTTATCATCCCAAGTACTTCTGCATACTGCTCATCAATCATGACATGTCTTAATCAGACCTTGTAAAGCTACTCTACATAATAAGTTCTTCAACTGCAACCAACTAAACATGCCTCAACAACCCAGACAGCTAGCAGTCACAAACCGGTAGCTTCCTTCTTTCTCATTATTCTTAAGGAATAAAAGCTGCAAGTTGATTTAACATTGCCTAGTGGGACACTGCCAGGCAAACTGTCCCCCAGTTACCACAGGGATGGTTACAGCATGGAAAGTGCCCAAAGGACTATTAAAAAGTAGTACAATTTATGAAACTACACAGCTTCTGATCTAAAGCAAACTGAAGCCAAGACCTTTGGTTCAACCAAAACTCTGGCCTTGTTCTCTGCAAACTTCTCCAATGCAAATCCTTCCCAGAGGCTTCAGCTCTTCACAAACTGATCCAGTGTGGGTCCCCACCATGGGGTGGTCTTTCAGAACAGATTGCTCCATCCTCAGTCCCCCACAGGTCACAAGTCCTGCCAGCAAACCTGTTCCATCATGGGCTCTCTCTCTATGGGGCTACAGGCCCTACCAAGAGTCTGCTCCAGCATGGGCTTTCCACAGGGCCACAGCATCCTTTGGAATTCACCTGCTCCAGCACGGTGGACTGCAGTTGGGTATCTGTTCCACCACGGACCTCCATGGGCTGTGGGGGTGAGAGTCTGCCTCACTAAGGTCTTCACCAGGGTCTACAGGGAAATCTCTGCTCTGGCACTTGAAACACCTCCAGCCCATCCTTCTGCATGGACCTTGGTGACTGCAGCATTGTGTCTCTCCCATATTCTCACTCATTTCTTGTGCTCCAGTTGCACATGGTGTTTTTTCTCCCTCTTGCTAACTATATTATTCCAGAGGCACTGGCACTGCCAGGCTCAGCCTGGGACAGCAGTGGGTCCCTTGGGAAGGTGGCTGGCACGGCACCAGGGGACATGGCAGGAGCTCCCAGCAGCTTCTTACAGGAGCCACCCCAGCTAGCAAAGCCTTACCATGCAAACCCAACAAAACCACCAGAGCTGTCACCTCCACACAGACAAACTTGCCTGCTGCCAACTCAGTGAACAGGCTCACTTTCTGCTTCAGGAAATAAAATTACTATAACAATAGTGATTAATTAATAAAACCAACAAAATAAAATTTAAGGTTTTGCAAAAGTACTGAAAATGGAATGTTAACCTAACAGGCAACTTTAGGGAGAAGAGGTTTATAGTATTTGATTGTCAAGCTACACGATTATGACTGAAGACAGACAAGTACAAGTGACCTTAAATAAACTTTACTTGAATTAACTTTTTCTCCCCACAGGCATAGGACGTGTGCAATGCAGAACATCAAGCAGTGTTGGAGTCTTAATTATAAATAAAAAAAATAATGTATTCAACCTTTGAAAAATCACTCACGTTTAAAATGTCAAAGTTGGGCACAGAAGTAATTCTCCACCAGTTACTTTAAAAAAACATAAAAGCTGTAATGTTTCTGGTATATTGCTTGTAAGTTTTCCAGAGACTATCAAGGTGGAAACTATTGAAAGCTAAAACCCGTACAACTCTACATGAAATTTGTCTGTGATTCATAGTCTAATAGTCACAAATTGTGAAGAACTTTACCTGTTGCTAGGTAAATAGGGTGGGTGTTTGCCGGACTCCATGCCTGCACAGCTGTTCGCTCAATTTCTTTTAGCTTCATTTTCTAGACTCTGAAAGAAATTTCACACAGAGTTTAGAACAGAGAGATACCGCTGATGTGAAAATATTCACATCAGGAACATGATGAGAACACACTGCTCTCAAAAGAGTGAAGTTAATAGCTACTTCCTGAGGCAGCGAATACTGGAATAAATCAGGATATATAAGAATTCATTAAACACTCCAACTCCCCCCCCCCCCCCCCCCCCGCCACCCC